AAGTTACCCTACAACTGCTAAAGAAAGAATATTCTACAATTTTCTACTGAGCAGTCATTTCACTTTTAAATATACGACTGAGAATCATCCCGCAAATAAAGAAAATTTTTAGCATTTCTGGAAATGCTAAAAACACACCCTTTTCAGACACTGAACAGATTTTTTTTTCCCCCCTTGTAGAGCCTGGTAGCTCCTGGGAACACTACTGCTAACACAGGGAACAGATGTGGGATTGACTTCAGTATGTTTAGGAGTGTTTCAGACATGCTGTTCTTGAAGATTGACATCAGAATTAAAAAAAAAGTCACTAAATGCTGATTGTCAACCTTTAGGTGAAACAACCCTCAGTTACAGAACAGCTAGCTCTCCATCCTTTGCTACCTTTAAACTACGGAGTTCACGCTCATACTGACAGAATCATTAAACATCAAAATCTGTCAAGGTCTTCTTTTTATGAAAAAAAAAAAAAACCCACACACAACACACCTCACCTCATTTGTAAAGAAGTAGTTGCCTCATATTTTCACACAGAAAAAGGAAAGCAGCTTCCGACTGTGAAGCCTGGTTTCAGCAGCTGTCACTGGCAATAAATGATGAACAAGTCATTTCCAAAAGAGAGGAAGAAAAATCTCCTGCTTCTGTACAGTTCTGTAGAAAAAAGAATAATACCAAACTGCATGGTCAACAGAAAGGGTCAGAGTCTAAACAAACAAAATGACTACTGTGCCTTCATTGCCTGTGACTCTGCCTATGCAAACTAAGACCACAGCTCAGGGCCTCCTCACCCCAGGGATCCTAGAAAATTAGATAGAAGTTCTTACTAAAAGGCTTACCTGACTAATCCCCTAGCTGGTGTAAGGTCCTTCCCATTCACATGTATTACACGCAATTGCAGATGCTCATCAATAGTAGATATTTTGCTTTGCCTGTCCATAGGGATAGAGCTGGATAGTCATGCTGAGTCTGCCACGGTTTGTAGTCAACAGGAATCCTGCCAAACATCAGTTGTCCAAAATCTGGGCAACAGGACCTACTTTCTTCAGTGGGAAAATATGAAATTCCTTGAGCCTATTTACTTGACAGTCTACAGGGTCTCATTGATACAGGCCTAGAGTTCCAAGAGAGCCTAAGGCCTGCTCTTACTCAAATAAATACAGTTTTCAGAATAGTCTTAAAACAGGCAATTTTGGACTCTGTGAAGCTTTTAAAGAGGACAAACATCAGAGACTCTGGCGTTCATAACATCAACCCCCCTGATCTTGTAAGCTTCTTTGGTTGAGATGTGTGATGAGGTTATCTGGCACTTTTAACAAGGAAAACTATTCATCTCTTTCAAATTTGTCAAAAAGTAACAGTTTGGCATACCAAAGACTACACATTAGCCTGAGGCAGGGAACACCCTGAGGAAGCTTTCATTATAAATAAGCCACCACAAAGCAGCAAACTGAGTACGCAAGCAGTGAAGGATAAGAGACATTCAACACCTTTCTAATGACACATTCTATACAGGACTTTTGTTCTGTGTTAAATGAACTTAATTAAGCTAGTCTCATGACTGGACTAGATCAGTCTCCTCTTCTATTCAGTGTGAAAGATACCTTGCCTTTGCATATTGACCTGTAAGTGTTTTAATTAAAAAAGCAGCTCTAAATATAAGTAGAGTAACTTGACGCTTGTTTTAAGCGAAAGCTGAGATCTGTCCTTTGAAACCATACATCCTTACCCTGGCCCAAGAGCCACTTACAGTGAATCTGAAGTGGCACAGGTTAAAAACACTGAAAAAGTCTTACACTGACGTAAGTCACTGTGTGAAGTTTAGACAACCACACCTGCATTTGTTGCTGATGCAACAAAATACGCTATTTCCATTTGCAATCATATACATGCTGTTATACGATTCATTCCATCTCTCACTAAAACACAATCCTACAGCCCCACTGGAAGTGCTATTATATTGTTTGCATGGGGGTAACACCACTTACATGTTGCTTCCTAAGAGAATAACATTTAGAACAATAATACATGTATGCACCAAATTGGAGTTACGTGAAGCAACAGCATTACTGAGTTACCCTACAATTTTTACTTCCAGCTGTTTACTGCCAACAGCTGGAGCTTCCAAAAAACAAAACAGACAACAAGAGCACATTGTTTTTAAATTAACCATACGGTTAAGTATTTCAACACAAAAAGGGTTCGTTTTACAGTCCCATATCAGTCACATCTCTTTCTTCTAGGTTATCCCTCACCATACAAGAACAGTTAGTTTCCTAAACTGCTTCTAACAATAGGAGCAGTTAGAAAAATGAATCTAGCTTTAGCAAATGAGTCCATAATGCATAGAATCTGGCATTCAAGTCAGGGAACTTTGTGACGATTAGGAGTAAGGAAAGAATTTTTAACTCCTACTCCTCATTCATATGCATCTCTAATATTCAGCTAATGGGAATTAAACAGACATCACGAGTTTAATCAGGGTTGCTGTAAGTACGAGAAGAGACTAATTTCACAGTTGCATGGGAAAAAGCACATCTCTAAGTACAATGGTTTCACTATAGCACATATTGTCTTACCTCCAAATACTGCAGAACACATGTTCAGCTCATGGAGAATTTCCAATGGAAAAGAATATTTGTAGGATGTTAGCAGAGCAAGTAACCTCACCGCCCTAGCTAATCTATGGGCAACCCCTCCTTTCTAATCCGCAGAAACCTAACCTTAGAACTACTCATTACCAGGGAGAAGAGGACAAATCCCCTTAACCCTTTTCTTGCTTAAAAAGCCTACTTTAAGTTCTCTCTCACTTAAGTGGCTTGTTATTCTCAAGACCTTTCCCAGTCATTAGGGCACTTCGCTCTACGGGTCTCTCTTCAGTTACCAAGCCTGCAATTACAACAAGAATGTGTAATATTGTAACCTTGATTTTCTGTTGCTGGTTACAGGATTTCTGCTACAGTGCAAGAAATATCTGGCTTTCAGTTTAAGGGGTGGGGGGGAAATGGATTTATGATAAAGTAATAGAGGTAGTTAACCTGCAGGTTAACTCATTTCTTGGTTAGCTCCAGCAACATATAATCAAAGCTGCCCCATACTGATTTTCAAGTGCATCATAGCCCACATGTAGGTTGTAAAGTGGAATCTGTGTCAGAAGCACATTTAATCCTAGGATTCGCTTCAGCTAACAACTGAGCTACATAGCAGGAAGACTAAAAATAATCCAACCCAGGCTGTTTCCATTAATCAGCAGGCTAAATTCATATGCTCTATCACTGCTTTTTATAAGAGGCGGTGCATATAAAGAGGCAGATGTCTTTTGTTTTTTCAGTTCTCAACTTTATCATTCAACCTGAAGTCAAATTACTAAATATTAAAAAAAAAAGAAGAAGTTTTAAAATGCAGAATTTCCTGAGTGACAGTGTCCATACAGATGAAAATTTACATGAGGTACAAACTTTAACATTTTGCTAAAAATGCCAGATTTCATAAATTGTCACATTACACAACGGTAGTCAAATTTTTAAGTGTAGGCTAAAAAAAGTCAGATAGAAACACTGGCTTTAAACAATCATAACTGAAACAGAAATAGAAAATCCTATGATGATTAAACAAAGCTAGTAGTAAATTGTCATCATAGTAAGGAAAGGAAAAAAGGATTCCAAGCAAATAAATCACTTCCAAAATTGGCATCTGTGATGGTAAAAGGCCCACACACATGCCTTCGCCCTATTTTTCCACCTCTTCCCCAAAACAAAAAGGAAAGTCCTCTCTACCCTTGCTCTTTCAAGGTAATCAAGAACTATCAATCACAAAAAAAAGTTTTGGGGAACTGTGGGCTCAAAAGGGGGAATTTTTGCAATAGCTTCTTTTGTAACTATTTTCAGGAACCAATATTGACTTAATTCATAAATCTGAAGACATATTACATACGGACCTGTTCAGTTACCAGCAGTAACTGTCAGTAACCTCACAGTTACCTTGCATACCCTTAAAGCACCAAGAGTATCAAGAAACCATGATCTTACTGTCTTCAACACACAATACAGATTCTGCTTCAACATTATTTTTCAAATGTTAACAGGGTGGGGGTTTAAGCTTACAGGTAAACAGCTGCCTGTCAGAACATGGTTTTTTTCCCCTCGATGCGGGACAAAAACCAAAACAAGTGCCATGTTCCCTCAGCCTTCACGATCTGCAGGTTCTTTGCTGCAGTATTCCCTTTGGCACTCTCCTGGATAAATAACAATATTGGAAATATTTCCAAGAGTGCTGATATCTTGACTACACAGAGCTTGTACACCAGTAGGTATAGTGTTCATGCTGTATACGCATTTTGACTTACTGTACTATTTATTTGGATTTTCTCTACTTACATACTTTTCTTTTTGTCCCTCAAGGTCCATCCACCCACCAAACTGAGTTTGTTTTGTTTTGGTTTCGGTTTTACTTATAAAAGGATCAAGAAAGTCTCTCTCCAACATCCTGTTTAAAGATTGGATAAACACATTCAAGTATCCATTCATCTTGTATTTGCAAATAAAACAACATACTGAAACACTGTAACTGTTCATAAACAATAATCTGTCTACTAAATTGGCTATATATATTTAAGAGAAATATTCCCAGCAGACAAAAAAGAGTCTGAATAAATTTCTGTTAAAGTCAAGTTTTACCACTATTTTTAAGAGTAGCAGCCCAAAACCAAAATTCTTTCAGCCTTCTTCCCCAAATGCTTATGCCTTATACAAATTTTTGAGAGACACTATCCTTTCTTACCAGGAATATTTCCCAAATAGAATCAAAGCTGGTGCAGTAACCATCACCACCTTCTCTGCTTTAATTTATTTGCATAAAAGAAATACACAATGGTCTACAATGACAGCTGTCTTTCATGCAAGAACGCTAACCCAACATGTGTTCTACTCACAATTAAATATTTGTAAACAGACTTGCCAGAATTGCTTTCTCCCCTTCCCTAATAAAACCAAAAATAATCTCAGAAAGAATTTTTTTTATTTTATTATGAAAATTGCTACATTACAGTCACTGTTCCCAGCAGTACTTTGACATATGTTTTTTTTTAAACCATTTAAGTGCCAATACACAAGCCATGATTATTATTTCAAAAGATGATTAGCATTATCTATGATAATTTGAGATAACATTCCATAATCAATTCCCCCCTGCCTTTTTTGTCAGCCATGGTAAAGAACAGCATCGACAACACCCAGGTTATCCACTAGTGTTATTGGTATAAATAAACTTGACCATAAACCACAGAGGAGCACACACATACACAAAAATCCCCCAGTGAAATTACTTGTTCTGTCCATCTTCAAAAATGCAATGACATGGGCGTTTACATAAGTAACCAATAAGTTACAGGCAAAAGTTTCAAACCCAATCCATTGTCAGTTTGTTGAAAAGCATGTTCCCCTTCTCCTGTCATATGGATTTCTGAAGAAAGCGTTTATCCTTAGCTCTCAGGGTAACAAAGCTGAACACTCTACAGATTTCAAGTATTTAATTCAGTGCCAAAATCTGAACTGGTCAGCACCTTTTTTTCATAAACAGAAAGAGTAGCGAGTGCCTACATATCTATAATTCTAAGAAATCGGGAAGTCTGTAACAGTGTGATTATTTCCACAACGGCACATTATAACACTGCTTTCAGTGGCTCTGTTCAACAAAAGATGCCTCAAAACCTTTACAGCAAAACACACTATAGGCTATCCATTATACATACTAACATTTTTATTTTTTAAACAAAGACTTATAGTAATAGCTTAATTCAGGAAGACTGAATGGTTCTGTGGTGCAATTCATTCTCTTTAAATGTCCCTGTTGACAAATCAGGAATAATGAAAACAAACCCACTATTTTAGAAGCTATGTGCCCCAAACTTTCACATGTATTCCGTGTAGATGCCATGCCTTTTTGAAGTACTATTAATTTAAAAGGAATAAATAATTTTTCTGTTAGAGTAGGAAGTGATTTCTTCTTGGAAAGTGCTTGACAACAAAATTCCTTTATAACTATCCTCATCACCTCTTCATAGCTGGCCTCCAGCTGCAATTTTCCCATCTTAAATTGAAAGTTCAAAAGAAAAAACAGAATATGTTCATCTGTAACAACAGAACATCTGTAACTTTAGAGTATTTTCCTGTTTTTAGTGCCATTTCAGAGAAGAAAGTGAGCATTAATGAAGTTCCACTCAGTAGATTATCCCACAGAGCCAGGTCGTAAACGATGGTCTAAGTAAGTTTTTCGTGTTGTATCTGGTAGTAACAGGCCTGAATTAAAACAAAGTTCAGTTTAGCATACGTGCCAGTTTTAAGAAGGCTGACAAAACACCACACACAAATAGGTTGAGCTTTTTCTCTATCCAAGAAAACAGAGGACTAGGATTTCTGCAAGCAGGGATGATACAGTGACATTGCAACACATGGGAATCTTCCAATATGTAAAGAGAAAACAAAAACACACAGGAGCTTTCATTTACAAATTATGTCCAGCTCTTCATGAAGTGAGACTCCAAAAACTTTGGTTCCCAGCTTTGGCAAGATGTACATATTCCTGCTCAAAAAAAAAAAATCTTTCTTTGCCCTTTAATAGAAGAGCTCAAAAATGAAAATGTTTTCTCACCAGACAAGGAAGCAAGGGTTAACATAAGGGTTTCCAAAGCACTCTGATACTAAAAAGTAAAGGCTTCTATCATCTAGATAAATACTCTGACCATAACTTTTACATCTGACCTGCTGCTGATAGCTATTTGTTCCTCAATGCCAGTTCCATATGCCTTGGATCAGCAGTGGCCAGAAACTTACTATAAATGTTTCAGAAAAATATTTGCATTCAGACAAAATAAGATTCAGCTCTTACTGAAGAAAGCTATTCTTTAGTAAGAATAATCAGCTCAGATCTTCCCTTCTTGTAACATCATAAAAATAACAGGTGGGAAAAACCTCTAAACCCAAATACTTTCCCAGTTTGTACAGACAGGAGAACAGGATTGTTTCTTCTAGCAGCTCAGCTCGAGATTTTTACTTACAGCATTTTCAGATTAACATCTGCCTTCCCCTTCCTTCTCCTCCCCTTCCCACCCCCTCCAAAAAAGACCAAAAACACTATACAACTGACTTGTTTTAACCCACTTGCCTGGAATAGTTTTGATGAAACAAGACAACCCGCTGCCATTATAGAGGTCTTTGGTGTACAGTGGTATATTCACCTAAACAGAAAGGGATCTCTCTCTCTTTTCCCATACTTAGAAAGACACTAACTAGAATATGGAAATTGATAAAGGGATCCGATTTGGGGGGGGGGGAGGCAAAATGGAATTCTTGGTGTATCTTGATGTTATGTCAGGACATCATCATTAGAATGGTTAATCTCAAGAGAAGCACTTCATTCCAATTTTTATAAAGGGAATAAGGTTTGAAGGGGAAAGACAAGACAAGTGAGCACAACAAAATAGTCAATAGCCACCAGTGTTACCTTTGAGTAAAGTGCGTTTACATATAGCATCATTTTATTAGTAGCTGTTGTAAATATTAGACTATCCTAAGCTCTAAGTTTTCTCGCCCATAATAACTAAAAAAAATTGATTTAAAGTGTCAATAAAGTTATAACCTAATGTTTGTACAGTTGTCCTAAGCTGATCATCACTGCCTTAAGCTAGTGAATTCTCAAGGAGTTTTTAATAACCCTGAATAATTCTCATACCTTCAAGGTAGTGAACATGATGCCTTGTTCCCCGTGCTGAAGATAAGGATCCATCAGGTCTTCAATTAAGTGTACTTCAGAACCTAAATTCCTTATCCTGCCACATGTGGGAGAGGGAAAGGATAAGTGAAAAAAAGACACCACTAAAATCTGTCTTTACCTTTCTAAGGGGTGGGGGGTGGAAGGGTGGAAAGCAGAGTTTTGCAAAAAACATGCTTTCTCCTAATCTCATTCTGAGGTTACAACCATTTCAGTTTTAACTCTTTAAAATATATTCAGGCCAAAGTAAACAGTCAACATGTAAAATTTACCAAATTTACAAAACCTTAAAGAGTTACAAAAAGCTAAAAACTAGTCTTATAATGAGAAGCAGGAAAGCTTAATACAGGCATATGTACCCATACTGCCTATGCCCAACTTACGTATGATGCTGCTCTTAATGCCTACCTGGCTCGAAGCACCACATAGAGAAAAACAGGAAATAAGTCATCCATGGACCACAGAAAATCTTCCTGAAGAGTCTCAAGCACGTTCTGAGAGATCTCTTCAAAAGTCTGTTGGATCACCTTCAGTTTGTCAGCTGGAGTAAAGGTGGTACTATTTGGAGAGCACAAATCAAATAACAGGTAATAATGAGAAGTTACATCATTTGCTTCTAAATTAAGATGATAATCTGGTAGTTAGTGTTTTATTTGCTAGCCTCCACCAAGATAAGCCCACAGATCATTCATATCATAGTAGCTGCAGTTGCCAAAGCTGTGTAGCACCCCAAGCTATAATTGCTGGATCAAGGATCTTATTTGTACTACTGCAAACATGACAGCCTTCACAACTTTATGCTATTTTTACATACTGATTGGGGGGGGGGGGGGGGGGGGGGGGGGCTGCAGCTGACATAAGGAATTCTGCTAACAGACATAAAAATGCCTCCCATAAATAGGTCTTTTTGCCTTAACTGTTTAAAAGATTCGCATGCAGATTTGATTAGATATCCTCTCACTTCTGATTTTAAGTAGTGTGCTCTACATGTGCCTCAAACTGTCCCACTTACAAGGCTATACTTGTCTCCTAATTAGGAGAATTTGCTATCATTTCCAGTACGAACTCTGAAACTTCTAGCTGACCTCTCTTACCAAGGTGAATGAAAAAAAGAAAAAAAAAACAAAAACAAAAACACAAGTAAAGGATCACAGTAAAATAAATTAGACAGATACCACTATAGCAGGAGAAGGAAAACACTAAAAGACAGTCTTCAGAGGTTTACCTGATTTGCTGTAAACATTCAACTGCTGAGGCAAAGCAGGCATCTTTTGTGTTTGGTGATACCTATGTAATCAAGAGAAGTTTTATCATTCAGGTTTAGCAACTTTCCAAAAACAATACAAAACAAAAAATTCAAATCCAAAGACTATTCAGGAAAGGAAAAAATTGCAGCTACTGTAGCACTGGCATAAGAGATCCTTCCTAACCCCCCGATTTCTAGTGCATCTAGGAGCTAAAGGCATCCAGAAAAATCTGCCTATATATATAATTTGTAAGAGTTGTGTTTAAAATTCAGAAAACGCTGTACTGAATACATCAGTATGCTACAAAAGGCAGTGACATTTTCAGATATCTTCCAGGTCAAGGAAGATGCAGAACCATTGGAGCCCAGAGAAGCCAGACCAGGCAATACTCAACGCAGACTCAGGTTTGGAGCAAACAGAAAAGAACCAATACAAACATTAGGCTCAGTTGCATAGTGAGAGCTAAGTCTTTCTGGATGAGGGAGGGCGAGAACGGATGGATAGATGCAAAAAGACCAAGAGAAATTCAGAGGTAAGGAAATTTGACATGGAAGAGAAGCAGACAAACATGTCTCAGCTACAAAAATTCTGTTCATTTGAAGGATGATCCAGCAAAGAAAGTAAAGGGCTGCATAAAACATCCCATGCTGCACAATTCAGAGAAGTCACATGCCACATAGAGCAGAACCCTTCCACTGAAGCACTATAACCAAAAAACCAGTCAAAATGGTGAAAGACTCAGACAGCTAGAAGGATTTTACCTAGTATCTGAAAACATAGAAAATCTGAAGTAACTCAAAAAAGGTGTTACTGTTGCAATTTGGAACACAAAGTCTGACTGGAAGTTTGTGGCATGTCTTCTTAAATGAAACTTCAATGCTGACATGTCCCAGTGCTTATGATTTGGGAAAGCAGGGACACACCCAGCTGGGACCCCACAGTCCTGGGGAGATCACTCTTGGCTTGGGATATCGTTACAAATCTGGAACACCCCATCTCTATTAAGGAATGTCGGATTGCCTGTGTCCAGGTAGCAGATCAAAGCGGTCAGAATAAGCATCTTCAGGGTGAGAGGAGCTTCAGAGTACACAGACCCAGCAGAGAGACTGTTGAGCAACTACCTGGAAGAGCTTTTCCAGGGCTGTGGAACACGCACAGAAAACAAACCAACCAACCTCCCCCCACCCCACCCCCAATCCCCAAAACACCTCTACCACACACACCAGAAGAGGAACTGAAAAAGAAAAGATGTTGAACTGCTTAAAGAGAACCAAGTCCTCTACTAAGCCAGAGCAGTCCTGTCTGAGCATATATTTATATGCTGCTTTCACCAGCGGCCTTTAACTCTGCTCTGAAAAGACTAAGTTCTGGGGCAAAGCAGCTTGGTTGCTCTCTCAGACTGCAAGTCAGAGCACCAAGCAAATGAATTAATTTGCAAATGTCTAAGGTACAAAGATTTGTTTACAATCAATACACATTAAAAACAGCAACCAGCCCGATGAAAGCCATGCTTCCAATCATTACAGACTTTGCCCAAGCCACAACTATAAATAGGTAAGAAGTAATCTGAAGGTAAGAGGATCTAAATGACCACAGAAAACTGAAAGTTTCAAATAAAAGTAGTATCTAACATACTTATTCATAGCATACGTGATTTAAAGTATACAGTAAAAAGATTGTTAAAAAGTTATGATCACTAAACCATTATTACTGGAGCACAAATTGGGTACTATAGCGCTACTACTGCTCAAGACCACTAATCAGCCACTTTCAGCAAGCTGATGATCAAGAACAAAAACAGTACAATTCCCCTAATCAGAAAGTGTACCATGATACAATTCTCCTGTTCAATCTTCTTAGAATTACCATGGTAGACATTTATTTTCACACTTTCTCATAACTATAAACCAAGCAAAATGGTTACAGACTTCTTTGTAATTTATTACTAGACTAACAGCATAAGGAATAAGTCAATGACAAAAGTTGGAATGACAGCTATTTTAAGAGATAACTAGTATAGTTTAAGTAGCAAAAAAGTTGTGAAGCAGCAAGGCAGCATAGCATCTCTTCAGCAAAAGGCTGTTCAAAAAAGTTTCCTATATTGCTTCTTCATCCTCTCAAGCTTCTGAAAAAAAACACTAAGTAAAGTACACTAAGTCAAGGCCCAACGAACATACCTTTTTAATCTCTCCAAGGATGGATACAGTTCCTGGCCAAAATTTCCTGCAAGAAACCCAACATCTTGTATTGAGAGAATAGAAATTGTTCCATTCTTAAAGCATTATTCACCTTATAAAAATTAAATGATCCTCATGTTCTGCTAAGATAGAACAATTCTTCCTACAGGATCAACTACGTCTAGCACAAGTAGCTACAAGACAGCAAAATTCGCAATGCGTCTCTTAGGTTCTGTAGTGATACTGATTTTTTTCTTTTTTTTTTCCTTCTTTTTTTGAAGAGGGAAATTGATTCATTCTCTAAACCACATTAATTAGCATGGAGTTCAGATATATTTTTAATCAAAGCACCCTAAGGATTCATTGGTTTAGATATGCTTTTTATAATTATGTGCCATCATCTTTCTAAGTTCTGTTTTATTGTGGAAGCATACTCACGCCTGCACCCCAAGAAAACTTAGAAGGGCTGTATCAGTTTGTTTGTTTAGACGTAAAACACATTCCCAGTAAATATCTTCCTCACGCTCATTGTCTAAGGCATACAACATAAACAGAGGAGGATAGAGTCGTGGCAATAATACAGGGAGCAGTAAGCCAAAGCTGGTTACAACATAGCTTTTTAAAAAAGAGAGAGAGAGAGAGAGAGAGAGATTTTAAAAACTTTAACCATTTACACAAGTAGAATTAAGATCAATGATTGAAATACACCTTTAGTTTATTATGAGTACGTTCTGCAAGTGAAAAAAATAGTAGGTACAAATCAATCAAGGATTATTTGTATTTAGACATATTTAGGAATAACAACTTCCATTGATACAGTCCAGATACAGTTTTTGAAGTGGAGCACTGTTTTCTGACCAGTATAACGTAAGAGTTGGATACTATATTAAAGTTCAAGTTTTACCTGCATCTTCAAGCTAATCAAGGGTGGTCGTTGAGCCTTCACTGAGCAACTCTGCTGATAGCTGAACTTTACCTTCAGACCATAAGCTCAAAAACAGGCTAAAAACCCAGTAAATTACCTAACCTAGCAACACATACACATGCTAGACTTCATAAAATCAGTAGCTGCTTGGCACCAAGTTGTCATGTTAATAAGGAAAGCTGAACTCAAGGTGCCTGCTAAAACCATCTGCACTTGTAGCACAGGTCCCTGGGGCCTCTCTGGGAAGCATGGCTCTGCCAGTCCCTCTTCCTTGTGTTGACCACACCTGAGGCTGCTGCAGACAGGATGGCAATGGACACCAAGGTTGAGCTCCATGCAGGTGGCTATTCATGAAGCAGTATGTGTGCACTAGATCTGCGTTACCCCAATACCTGTACCCCAAATTACCCTGTACCCCTGAACTTTTCTGAAGCTCAGGCCCAAGCGTGAGCTTGCCCCTGCACAGGAGATACAGGGTTTAAGTACGGACACATTGCACACAACAGTGCAGGGATGAAACGCTCATTGCAATCATCACATGGAAGTTTGCTTAACAGAATCTGTCATCAAAAGCAAAGGTAAAAGAGAATAAATCTGATAACTGAACTTATGATGGCCTCGTTTTATTTCTGTTCAGGGTTCTTTCTCAAAAGTCCCCTTTGCCAGGGAAAAAGTTTTCTCCTTCATTTACCCTGGTTCAGGAGATTCTGATCTGGAATCAGATTTCCCACTGCAGAACGATCGCCTTCCTTTTGTCTCTGTCACCAGAAATGGAATTGTACTGCCCTCTTCTGGAAGATCAGGGAACAAGAATCTAAAAGGCAACACACACAGTAACACATGATTTAATTCCAAAAAGCTTCCACAGATCACTGCAATTCAGAAGGCAGGATTGGACTAGAGAGAAAAGTCAGCAGAAATAATACATGATGGACTAAGATAGCACAGAATCTACCTGAGATAAAAAAAACTTATAAAGGCAATACCCTCCAATGTCAAGCTTTCTATCCTGTCATCACTTCCCTCCAGACAAGGCTTCTGATGGTTTCTAATTAGGATCCTGCCAATCTGAAAGCAGAAATATGCCAGTGAAAGCTGTAGTTGCTTTCAAGGATCTAAGCAAACACTTCCTATCAACATGGATGAGACAGAAAGAACTGCAACAGAGTACGCTCTGGTTCCCTGTCCACGCTATTCTTCTATACTCTTTGGACGTTGCCTTTGCACCACATGTAAATCCAGAGATACTAAGCTGGAAACCCACATTCAAGGTGAGCTTCCTACAGGTGTATTTTAAAGTCTAATGTAGGACGCAATTCACTGTGGTGAAGATTTTAATATTTTTTTCAATTTTGACAGAACATTTGAGACAGCTTAAAACAGTTAAAGAAATATAATCAACCCTAAAACAGTAAAGATGGTGGCACATTTGAACTACATAAACACTAAGCAGCTTCAGTGAGTCAAGTATCTTTAACGAATAATTTGATGTGAAAACTTAGAGTATTATTACCTAACCAACTGGAAGATGCGTTTGAGGTAGGACTTTATCTCTCTCACAGCCTCCTGCAGTAACCGTCGATTAGCTCCTACTCCAACATAGGTCATTCTGTAGACAGCTACTAGCGTCTCCACCAGCTTCCCCAAAGGATGGAGAGGGGTATCACAAGCCTGAGTTGAAAGATATTTATTGGCCAGTCAGATGGGTCAATGCCAGGTAAGTTAAAGACAGAAAACAAAAACTGATTTCATGAAAGACAAGTCAGAGGTCCAAAAACAGACATAAAAAATAAATTGTTACAAATACATTATGCAAATCGTTAATTTTACCAAATTGCTGATTTGGATTATGAAATTTATATGTTATTAACTGAAGAGTAGGCAAGCAGTACAAGAACTTGTGCTACTACTTTACTTGGACAAGTTCCCTGTCCAGTTCTATTAAAAAAATAGCAAGCAATAATCAGCAAGTACTCCATAATGCTCTAGTGGGATCCAACGCATAAGAAACAAAATAGTAACTAAGCAAAAATTTGCATTAAGGAAATATCCTTTAGGTATATAATGATTTTAATAGGTCAAGCTCTATAAAAGAGTCAGTCTTATGGACTGATAAATTCGATGAATCAGGAAGTTATGATAAAGAATGAACGAACTCATCTTGGGCTATAAATATGAAAGGGATCCAAAAAAAAAAGCTATTACACAAGTATAACAACTCAGGTGAGCTCAATATCGTGTCTTACCAAGAAGCTATGTGAGCACTGGATAGTCACAATACCTTTATCAAATATTTTTTGATATTTTCATATTTTTCCAGGGTGAAGGCACCAATGTGTTGTGGAATGAACTCCAAACTTTCCAGTGTCTGAGTATGTGAACGACTCAATAATTCTGGGCTGCAGTTATACAAAGCACAAAGACATCATACAGGTTATTCATCATACACAGTAGGAACAAATGTGACAATAAGTTTAGAAGCTTCCTCAAGAAAGTTATGAGCCTTAAAGGAAAGACGGGGGGGGGTGGTGGGGGGGGGGGGGGGGAAGAGAGGAAGGACAAGACACACACACAGGAAACAATTCAATCCACTTGTTCTCTTAAACTTTCTAGTTTGATACAATTCTTCAGGCTGAACTTCTTCATTCCTCTCTCATCTGCTGCAGCATATTCCTTCATCGTTACTTTAGGAGATTAGAAGCTGAATACTGTGGAAATATTCACCCACAGACTCATTTCAGCTCAAAATCCTAACCTCTACAAAGTCACGAGCATGCAAAACACTATGCCCACCCTGACAGACATGTAGGAACCATTAGGATCTTGTCACCATCCATTTCATGGCACTCAGTAGAATTAAAGTCACATTATCATTTTTACTGTGGCCTTCTTATTGTTAAAAGCTGTCTTCCTGCATTAATCCCCTGATCCTGCCTACTCTTACTCAAGAGCAGCTTTCTCTTAATTTGCATAGTCAGGTCTGTTGAATGAGCCTTTCCTGCAGCACCCTGGGCAGGCTTTCTGTATCCCTTTTTCTCGTTAAAGGCTTTTAAACCTCATGGGAGAGTTTCTTTTCTAATGACCCTTTTCTTCCACCATTTTTAAGTTTTCAGAAATACAATCTCTCCCTTCCAAGTTTCATTCTGAATTCTTCAACTCTCTGTACCATCCAAGAGTCTTCATTTCATTGTTTTTCCATTATTTTCTGCACTGATTTGGGTTATGAGGATTGCACATTCCCTTTCTGGAAAGCTGGACACAGTTGCATACTTAAACAACCAAACAAAAAAATCTTCTGGTAATAATCAGCTAGCATCTCACTCATACACACTACTTAATCTTTAACATTGATTATGACAACTGAACTAATCCTAAAAATAAAGTGTCCCTGAAACAGACTTTTGCAGTGCTGTGTATTAGTGGTTTGTTTGTTCGTTTTTTTAAAAAACACTGAAATCTAACAGTAGTGGTTCTGGCCCTTTTAGAGTGTGGTTCCAGTTTCTTTCTCAAAATTCCTTCACCTTGGTGACTACGTTCTCTAGGAACTCACCTGTCTTTGTGTTGCCGTCGGTTGGTGGTCAGGGCCACTGCAATGTTGTCCCAAGCCTTCCATCTATCCCCCTGGCCTGGGCTCTCACAACCCAGCTGGTTCCAGCATTCTTCAAATACTGCCTTCCATTTCTCATCAGGAGGCACTGCCAGGATTCCAAGTTTCCGCCTAATAAAATCACCAGAAAATCCTTCCAATCAAACAGTCTTGGAACAACATATTCAGCTGTTAAAGCCACACATGCCTAATGTCAGTCTAATATACCATACTACCTTATGAAATGCTACTAACTTTATGCTCTTTATTGCAAAGTATTAGTCTAAAGTTTATCACTAAAGATGAACCTAAAAACTGCTATCTAATGAACGACTTGACTTTCAACATCTTTTAAGAACTTACAAGGCTTATACTTTTTTTTTTCCCCTTGCCAAGGAACAGCCTCAAAATGTGCATTAATCTATGTACCAGATTATAACGTTACAAGATTAAGATGCTTCTGCTACCTATATGTAGGAACAACTGTGAACCTTAACGACATTCAACACAACTTAATTTGACTCTTGTAGCCTTCTGGGAAACAGTTCATTCTAAACAGGAAAAGCATTGCTTTGATTTCCAAGAAAACAGGACATACTGCAGTTGACTAGGCTTCGGTTCATCACAAGTATTCATTCAGACAGCTTAAGATGCATTCACATAATAAGGGCATAGTACAAAAACGTCCAAAATACTCCACTGTCTTAGAACGTGCAAATAGCATAGCTACACAGATAAACAACAAGAACGGATATATGGCTTCTGGACTTAAACTGATATCTACAGATGTTGTCGCAACACATCTTAGAGAGTGTTGGTAAAGGGTAAAACCAGCTGGGCATCTTTACACTGAGAGCCAATGCTCAGGGTAAAGATCCTCTATTGCCAAAGAGAAACTAAGAACTATTGCTTCTCCGTACATACTGGACGTATCATGAAATCTAGGGCTTTAAAGTGCTTTCATAAAGCAAATAGATGTCGCCAGCTGCTAACAGTTCTATCCAGATTCAAACTCAAATCAAGCGTCATAGAAATTGTCAGGTCTTCCATTAATTTTTTTTTTAACCCTCTTTGAGATGAGAGCTAGCAACACTAATATTCCCCATGATTCTAGATTCCTACAGCAGAAATAGACACTAAACCTTTTCACATATTATACCAAGAGGTATTTCAGCTTCAAGGGAGCCCAGAAAAGGTGGATGAAATCCTTATTTCATAAGTAGTCTTCACAAATACATACATACATTTATTCATAGACTCCCTACTGG